GCGTGGCGCGGGCAGCCGATGGCCAGCTCCGCCTGGGGAGCGCTTTTGAGCGACTTTCATGGGGCTGACCCACGCCGGGGGGCGTCGAGGCAGTAACCGCAAGAAGCCGTGCGGGGGTCCGAGCCCCTGCTGCCGCCGAGCCCTTCCTCCCACCCGTGGCCGCTGCCGGCATGGGAGAGGGTTGGAGAAAGTAATTACTTTGCCTCTCTCCTGCCTCAGACCCATGGGGCAAACGGTGCTGCCCGGGGTTCCCCTCGTGTTTCCTCGCGGCTCTCTTAAAGTCGGTGCTAAATGATCGCTGGGGCTGTGCTGCCACTAGTGCCCGTGGGAGGAGGCCGTGCCTCCGCCTCCTCCTCCACCGAAACAGGTATAACTGCTTAAATTTCCCTTCCCCCCCCCCGTGTCATCCTAAAACTTCACTGCTTCGACGCCAGAGCTCAGACCCACAAGAAAATCCCCGTTTTCCACCAAAGTGCAGCAAAACAAAGTGCCTGTGTGCGACGCCTTATTTAGTGTTTCCCAAACCGCTCCTGAAAACCTGTTAAAAACGTAACTTCTCGATGAGCTCTGCTGTAGGCTGGAGACGGGGACGTGGCTCAGCTCCCCTGCTCTGCTCAGCTGTAATCCCAAACAGAGCTCGGCTTTGGGGAGGTGATGTCTGAAGCATCCTTGTTTAGCAGTTAGGAGATAAGTTAAACTAGTGCTTTTAAGTTTCTAGTTGCGATTGATTTGCAGTGTAGCTAGGGGCAAAGTTTATATCTCTTTTTTTTTTTCTTCATCATACATAAAAGAAGAATATACCTTATGAGAATGTGAGGGGCTTAGTTATCACTCATAAAGTTGATGGTGCAAATTGAAGGTGGTGGTTGCTCTTGTTTAAGCACCATGTAATGACTTCTTGGGATCCGTATGGAAACAGATGAATTCCGATGAACCCGGAGCCAGCTCTGAACCGTGGTGTGCCCGGGGAGGTGTGATTCAGAGCGATGACTAACTTAGGAGAAAGAGCTTCGCCTTCTTCCCCGGCTCCTGGGGTGGATTTTCCTGGGGCGGGGGAGGTATATGGCAATCCTGATTTTTTTTGTGCTCCAACATGGATTCATCTCAGAGTTTGAAATTCTGCAAGGGTTTTGATTTGTTTTTTAAGTCTTCTTGTTGGTGAGTTTCAGCGTTCCTCTCCCGTTCAGGCTGAGGGACCCTCACCGCCTGCTGCACGGCTTTTGATTTCCTGCGGTGGAGGAGGAATGACGCCGGTCCGGCGGATGCGCCGACTGCTCTGGGATGCCGGTGCTCGCCGGGGTCACCCTCCAGGACAGGCTGTGAGGCTGGTTGGGGGGTCCCAGCGCTGCGCTGAAGGTGTCTCGCTCTGCCTCCTGCCCCGGCACAAGCTCCTCCGCCGGCCGTGGGCTGTCCTGCGTGGCCGCAGGCACCTCCTTGCTGAAAGGGCACTGCTGGGTGCCGTCTTACCGTAGGGGTAACACCAGAGAGCAAGGTCTGAGTAGGTCATGGGTGCAAAGCACGTCTGCGTTCGGGGCGGAGAGGTTGTTTCTGTCCAGGTTGGGATCTCCGCTGCTTTGTGTTTCTCAAAGCACAGAGTCTCCAGCAGTGTGAGGAAGAGCAGCCCAGGTGCAGGCTCTGAGCTACCACCTGGGAGAGGCAGCTAAAGCCCAGCCCTTGCCTTTCTACCAGGTATTCGGGTGCTGGGCTAATAGAAGCAGAAGTCCTCAGTGGGCTTGGTTTCATAATACCTTGTTGACGTTTTTTAGCCTTGGGCTGGGCTGGGCTGGTTTTCTGCAGTAGCATCTCACTCAGCGTTGGGGACTGAGAACTCTTTGGCACCGAGGGCGCAGGTGATCTGGCGATGATGGGTTTATCACTGATAGCTGTCCTCCAAAAGCACCCAAGCTTTCTAACAGTTAATGTAGACACTCGCTCTGTTCTCTGTGTAGGCAAAGGTGTTTTAAAAGGAAGAGATTTGGATTTTGGATGTTGCTGTTCCTCCTGCTTCTTATTTTCCTTGTGTTGCTGCTAGGAAAGCTCTTGGGCGCTTTAAAAGAAGTGGGTTTGATCCCCTGGCAGTCCTAATTTTTAAGAATTAATCTTTAGACTTTTTGCATTTAGTCAAAGTTAAGTCTATGATAAAGATGTGATTTAACTTGTGAGAGCAAGAGTAGTTTATTTAGCAAGATATTAAATCTGCTGTGTTGAACACAATGTTCTTTAAAATACAGTGCTTGAAATTTGGCTCTTACACTGGAATTTGCTCTTCTAGAGTGAATCTTGTCTGATTTATGTTTATTTCCCACTTGCAGTAGTCCTGTCTGATAGTGAAATAGCAGTGCCATCAAATGAAGAGCTTGAGAAGTACGTAGTTGGGATTACCAAGTTTATCATGTTGGGGGTTATTTGGTCTTAGCTGCAGTCAGTTGGAGGGTGAAAAGCTGCTTAATACCCATCTAGATGTTATGCAGAAGTGTTAATCTTTAAACAGCCCTCCTTGCTCTGGTAATGTTTTGTGAAAGTTTACTGAGGCATTGCATTAAAAAAAAAAACAACAACAAAAAACCAACAAAAAACCCGA